CTGAATTGTGTAATATCATTTTATTAATTAAAAACGAGTAAATAAAAACTGGTTTAAAAAGATTTTATTGACAGTTTTAAACAACGACTGTTTTAATTACTTTAAAAAAACCTAACCATTCAGTTAGCAATTTGATTTTATAGGTATTCATTCAACACTGTCCCGCAGACTACCAAGTCTTTTTTTATGTAAAAGATTTCGTTTTCTACAACACGAATGTATTTTTTATCGTCGCATAATTCTTTTTTTTTATTTTTTTAATTTCTTCTGCTTCAATCATAAATTGAACTTCCTCACCTCTGATAGTCAATGGTTTATATTAATTGCTCGACGTGGGTGGAAAGTTTTCATCTAAAATTTATTGGAATAGTGGTGAACGTGTTGAATTGTTTAAACTGAAACATTTTAATTTGACTCAGAAGACATTATTATAATTCAACAGCCACATGCAAACTTCACAATATCTTCAATATTTATTTTTTGAATCATGTATTCTCGTGTTTAAAGGCGATATAATAATACAATAATAACCACATAATATTATTTTGTAATGTTTTTTCAGTGCCATTGTTATTCCTTAATCAAATGGTTATGTCTAAATTGTGTTTACACGTGGTTTATATCAAGTTTCTTATCTAAAAAAAATAATATAATGTTTGTAAAAAACAAAAAAGGTTTTTGAAAAAAACCACTATTGAGGTGTTTTATTTTCCCAACACATTTACTAATGAGGGGTTTTACTGTAATCTTAAACACAACAATTTTTTTTAAAAAAATAACTAAATGAAATCAATAAAACAGCTATGATAAACAAAGAAGTTAGATTTTTTTGTTGTTTGAAAAATTAAAAATATAGTTATTGTTTACATTAATCATTTTAAACACTCTTTTCAATAGATTATTAAAATTTATAATTATATGCATCAACGTGTCAAAAGTCATTTACAAACAATTGGTTAAACAGTCTATATATTTTACAAGAATCAGACAACAATATAAAAAGATGTGGATTATATGTAATAGAGGGAAATTGTTATAAAAATAATAATATATTTGACACTAAAAACGTTTTTAATGATTGGTTGTTAGTTTTTAAATTCTTTTGATAAAAACTCTTCAAAAGATTAGTCACAATATGTTAAATACCAAAAGATGATAAAAATATATATTAGACAGAAAAAATTGTCGAAAATCTTGCTAAGTCAAACTGTCTAAAAAATACACAATTAATATAATGGGTTTTTGAAATTTTTTTATTTTTTTTAAAGACTATTGTATGTACATAATTTTTATATGGTTTATATTAATTATCATTGATGTGTTAATGTTACTTTTGCAATTTGTATTTCATTTTCAACTCAACACTGATAATGTGTTTTCTTTTTATTTTTTTTGTTTTGGAAAAAAATGTAGTTTCGAAATAAACGGATTTGTATCTTACCAGTATTTGCTTTGTGTTATTTTTGTGCTTTTGTAATAAAACGTTATTTTTTCATTTTTTAAATGTTTTTATTAGTCCACGATTTAAACTCGTTATTCATTTTACTATAATTGAACTACACTGTATAATATTATTTTTTTTTCAAAAAAAACAAAAACACTGCTTTTTTTAACAGTATTGGTTCGTTAAAGATTTGGTACCTAAACAAGTTAAACAATTATACTTAAAATGTATTTGAATAGTTTGTTGAACTATTTGAATAGTTCAACAAAAAAAAATTTTAATTTATTGTTATTTAATAATAATATTTCCAATGACAAAAACTAACCATAATCAATATTATTAACTATAGTTAGTTATAATATTAATAATTTCATGTAATTTTAAAAACTATAAATTGTAATTAAACTTATTAAAATTCAAAAATTTTTAAAAAGAATTTTTATCAACAACGTTATTGTTGGAGTATACTTTAAAATAATGAAACGAAATGATTAAATATTTTTTTGTATATAGTTTTTGTTGTGTATTAATATATTTTACAAAAAATAACATCCATTTATAATGAACATTCACTTTTTGTTACTTTTAACACTTGTTTCTTCTATGTAAAAAATGTAACCGTTTCATATTTGGAAGAAGACCTCTAACTCTAGTTGTTCCTTCTACTTAAATCATTGCAAACACTCATTCGATAAACTAGTTGGAAGTTGGGAATTCTCTTGTTAAAATTATTATAGACATGAAAATGTTTGTGAAAAAATTAAAAAGTCTTGTTTTATTTATGAGACTAAAAAAGTTCTTTGGTA